TGGAATAAAGCTGTTTAAAGCAACGTTAGTAGTGTGTTTTATTTTTGCAATTATATTATATTGATTCTGACATAAATCTATTTCTTAAAACTAATTTAAATCGATTATATATAAATATTTTTTCTAATACTTTTAAACATATAATTAATTTAATAATTAGATACAAAAACATGTGTTTGTTTTAATGTTTTTACTAGTTATTTCATTACCATTATACTATTTTCACAACATTTAAAATTTATAGTTATAATGGAATGTGGTATTGCTAAGCACCATTGCATACACAGAAAATGTTATTATTTATAATGCAAAAAGGAATGATAAACGTCAATTTAAGACTCGGGAGCATATTTACTGCTTTCCTTGGAAGGTTTCGCTATGGATTAAAATTAAAAATTCTTTTTTAAAAACTAAGTAAGTATATCAATCTATTAACATAGATTTAATTGAGTAGTTTAATGTTTGATCCATGATAATGAGTAGTTTTAATGTTTTATCCTTTTTAGCTCACGAATGCCGCAGTATCATATTTCACAGTGATTTATTCTACGCGACAATAACGAACTAGGAAGAATAATTCATTATTTATCTAAATCTTTAAATTAACAGTGCGCATGCGCGCAAATAGATATACACATGCACACACAAGAAAAGATGAATATATCTATATCTATATATATATACTCGATATATATATATATATTATTATATGTATTAAAATTTCTGCAGTTTAATGTAAAATATAAATATAAATATATATACTTTCAATCTTTTAATATTTATTTTGATCTAAATACTAATAAATAGGCAAATCAAATTGAAGATATTACTAGAAGTCTAATCTAGTTTTGAAAGCAACATATCGATAATCAAATGTCGAAACGATTATTTTAATGAACTTAAATAATAACATGAATGTAGTACAATTAATTAATAAGTAATTATATAGTTCAATATATTTTTTTAAACATATATTTCCTTCAATTTATTAATTTATTAATTTTTTATTTTACATTATTTAAGCTAATTGCAAATATTGCTGAAAACTTATCATGTTCTTATTTATGTTTAAATTAATTAAAACGATAGGAATGCAAAATGTTAAATTTGTGTATATTAATGTAGTAGATTTGTTTCATTGATAAATTTTATTAGCACAATCTTTGAAGAATAAGAAGAATCTATATATTATTCATATTTATATCATAGAGCATACATTCTTCTATATGTATATAAAAAATTAAGTCGAAATCAAATGCTAATATGATCATAGTTCAGCTCTTTAATTTCAATCTTTAATACGGTATCTTTAAATACGGTATCTTTAAATACGGTAAATATTACCGTAAAATGTGAAAACATATTGCATCTTTGGAAGGTTTTGCTATGGTAAAATTAAACATTTTTTGATAACAAAAGAAAATCTAATTAATGTGCAATATACAAGCTTTATGTATCTTTTTTGGCTCACTATTATAGTGTTATCTTATTTTATAGTAATTTTATTAGGTAATAAATCGTGAAATCAAAATTCATTATTCGAGTAGATCTGTTTCAAATGAATATAGTTATGCACAACATTTGAGCATTGTAAATTTTGATATAACTAAAGTAATATATTAAATAAATATATTATTTTACTCTTAACAATTATACAATACTAAATTATGCTCATAAATAGAATTATGCTAATTATGCTAATAAATAGATAATCCATCAAAAAGAAACATGTCGGAATTAGATTAGGTAATTATTTTTTTGCAACATTTAATAATAATAATAATAATGTTATTATTATTTTTTTCTTTTATATATTTTTTCAAATTACACATATGACACAATGCAACATATTTTGCTGTAATTAAAATTTTATATAAATACTTATTTTAATAAGTAAGCATACATGTTATAATAAAGATCGATCAAACTCATCTGTCACTATATAATAATTTTGATGATATTTTGATTTATAACTTTCTATAACTGGTCTATAACTTTCTTAAAAAAATATAACTAAAAAATGAAAGCCGCGATTATAGATTATATATATATATATATATATATATATATATATATGTATGTATGTATGTATATGTATATGTATAATGAACACGAGTGAATTACCTTGAATGTTTTTTTTTAAATATAATTTACGCTTTACCTTGTGTAATCTCTCTCTCTCTCTCTCTCTCTCTCTCTCTCCCCTCTCTCTCCCTCTCCCCCTTTCCCTCTCCCTTTCTCTATGATATAAAGTGAGTAACACTTTCTTAAGATGCACCGATAAAAACTGAAACTTTTTTTCAGTTGAAAATCGAACAAGAAATTATAGCAATTACAATTTGCAATTTACGCACAACAATTTTTAATATGATACATTTTAACAATATTTTCAAATTAAGATAATTTCGATTAATTCACCTTTGCCTATATCATGAATATGAATAATTTATCTCCTATTGTTAGAAAGCTATAACCACTATTTTACTATAATTATCGTTGTGTGATAATATCAATTTGAAAAATTTATGAACAGTTTTGAACGAAATAATGCGAAAATATAAGGTCTGTGTCGTAGTTGTGTCGCAACTCTTGTATAAGATGCACGTAACAGAAGAATATTACAACAAGATCAATCGAATAGTTCTTAAGATACTTGGTTTATGGCCTTATCAGCAATTATATTTCGCGGGAATGCAAAAAACTGTTTTTTATCATTATTCTTTCAACATTTATTCTTGTCCAGGTATATCAACCTACTTATAATTTTTGAGTAAATGATGACATTTATATTAAATGTACATTTTAATAAATAAATCTAATACTACGAATAAAATATATAAAATAAAATTTTATATGAATTATCTTTATATAAAAAAATTAATTTAAGAAGTTGTAAAGGAGTCGTCAAGGAGTAAATGTTTGGCTATGCATTTTTGGATTTTTGTTTTTTCATTATTATGCAATATTCGATGCTGGCAAGTCTAGACCACACATCTCACATTTTAGCTGCATCATAGATACGCTTATTTGCCACATCTTTTTTAATTAATTTATTTCAAAGATTATTGCAAGATATTATAAAATGATAAAGAACTTTTTAATTTAGCTTATGGCGCTCTACTCTTTCTAGAGCGTTAGTAAAATCTTTATCAATTATTCTACATAATTAATAAACTTTTATTAATAATTATATAATAAATATATATTATGTAATTTTTTTTAATTTACGTCATTTGAATTCATTTTTGGGATAAAATAATATGAAATTAATGAAATGCATTCTAGCATGTGTAAAATATATTTTGTTGATAGGTAGAAATAATTTATTATTACAACTTCTAAATATATATGTTGTTCTTAGTTACTACTATTCATCACTACGCAATACAACACGAACCTTCTTTTCAAGATTCTTTCATTTGTCTTGCCTATTCTTTTCGGCACTGTAAAGTATTGCTTTTTTATTATACGAGCGAACAGTGTAAGTTTAAAACAGTATAAGAGAATTTTTTTCGAACATATTGTTGTAACCTTGATACAACAAATTGTATTTTAATATAAAGAAAGGTATAAGGAAAAGTGGAATAAATAGGTGAAGCAAATGCTGGAGCGGCACCGAGACAACTGGAAATTTTTTAAAGATAAACTGGAAATTGATATTATAAAGAAATATTCTTATATCGCGAGACTTATTTCAATAATTCTGATGGTAAGAATAGTAATGTTACTGCATCTTTCATATATATATATCCCAGACCGGTCGAATATTTCATAAACTATGCACTTTAGAAAGAAATGTTTCAGATAAAAGTTGTATGGCTTGAAGGAGGCCATCAGATAGTGGCAATGATTTGACATAGGAGAGTCATTTGAAAGTCACGTGAAGATCACCGTCATTTCTTAAATGGAACTTTCCTATTTTTTATTAAATATTCTAGTAGCTCACATCGAGAGCTTCCCAAAACACTATAATTAAGTTAGTTTTCATTAAGTACTTTTCGAATTGTGAGGCTTGAAATCATTTTTTAATTTTACATCGTAAAATATCTTGCAAAATATTCATTTTTCGATTATCTTACCTTAATACTTTTATGTACAAAATAATGAGAGGAATCAATTGGTAAAGAAAAAACATAGTTGTTTTTAAGAAAAAAATATTATATAGTAATTTGCAATTAACAATTACATTTTTTTTTTAAAACAACTATGTGTTTTCCTTACACCAATTGATTCCTCTCATTATTTTGTGCATAAAAGTATTAAGGTAAAATAATCGAAAAATGAATATTTTACTAGATATTTTATGATTTATGTAGAATTAAGAAATTATTTAAGCCTCATAACTCGAAAAATACTCAATGAAGAAATACTTTATTATAGTGTTTTGGAAAGCTCTCGAGATAAGCTAGAATATGAGAAAATGTAGGTTCCATTTAAGAAATTGAAGGTGACCTTTACGTCACCTTCAAATGACTCTCCAGGATCAAATCATTGCCACTATCTGATGGTCCCCTTCAAGCCATACAACTTTTATCTGAAACATTTCTTTTTAAAGTGCAGTTTATGAAATATTCGACCGGTCCGGGATTTTTCGGACACTCTGTATATATAGTCGTATAGTTTGTAATAAAGATAACATCAATATAATATATGTAGTATGTATAATATCAATTTTTCAATTATCAATCATAATTTTTTGTGATCTTTGTAATTAACAAGATAAAAAATATTTGAATATATATTCAATATGAAATGTCGTTTAAATTCTTTTGTATTTAGGTATAAATTAGACTTTGACATCAATTAGATTTTTCTCAGGCTTATGCTGTTTTGTATTAACCGTGGCCGTAATACTTCAAACTTTTCCGCTAATATTTGATTTTATATTACCTTTGAACGAGTCACGTTCTTGGCAATTTTTTATCGTTACGGAATATTTTTTCAATCAAGAGAAATATGTATACGCAATACTATTACATCATATCCTAGCTATATCCATAGCAGGAGTCACAGTGTGTAGCGCCAGTTCGACATTCTTAATGTTTCTCCTACATATATGTGCTCTATTTAATATCGCAAGGTAATATTAATTGCACTTGTTTCTTAAATCGAATCTTATGTCTAAATGGATTTATACAGTCATCATATAGAAAATGCGATGAAGTGGAACATATTAGCAATATCTGATCCTAAAAGAGAGCATCTCCTTTACCAGAGGATTGTACATGCAGTTATTGTACATCGTAGAGCCATCGAGTGAGTGGTTTTATTTTTTTATTGCTATAAAACTTTGCACTCCGTTTTTTTGTGTTATTCTTAACTCTTAAAACGCGTTATTGTTACACATGTTACTACATGTTTAATATTAAATTGTTTATTAATATATTTTACATTAAGTGAAATCACAATTTTACGAGCAATTAAAATTAAAATTAAGTACTTTTCAAAAAATGAAAATATATTAAAGATTTGCAATTTCTTTCAAATATGTGATGTATTTGATAAACATACATATTTAGATTGTTAAAAATATATTATCTTTTTGAAGTGGAACTTTATATAGATAATTACTATGAGGATTAAACGTACAATCAGAATCACATTTATTTATCACATGGAAAAAAAATGAATATATCAATGTTTGCATCTATCTATATTGATAATGTAACAATTTTTTATTGATAATATAACAATTCTAATACTTCTCGTTGAAGGTTTACTAAGTTTTTCACATCTGAATTTGCTGTATTATTTGCTATTCTGATCTTAGTTGGTGTCAGCTCTTTAAGTTTAACTCTTTTACAAGTAAGCAATATTTTTTCTTATCTATTTTGTTTAATTGAATTTTCTTTAAGTACCATTTCATTGTAGTTTCTTCAATTGATAACATTAACGGGTAATGTCACAGAGATATTCGTATTTGCTTTGTTAATTTTGATTCATTTAACTTATATGTTCTGTGCCAATTATGCGGGACAAATAATAACAGATCATGGAATAAAGCTGTTCGAAGCAACGTGAGTAGTGTTTTTTTTTTTGGCAATTCATGCGTACCGATTCTCACATAAATCCATCTGTTAATTTTGGTTTATAATAAATCAATTGTATAAAATATTTTTCTAATACTTTTAAATATATAGTTAATATAATAATTAATTACAAAAATATGTTAAGTTTTTTGCTAATTTTTTATTTCATTTCAAATTTACAGTTATAATGGATGTGGTACGCAGCACCACTGCATACACAGAAAATGTTATTATTTATAATGCAAGAAAGAATAGTGGATATCAATATAAAATGCGGTGGCATATTTACTGCTTCCTTGGAAGGTTTTGTTGCGGTAAAATTAAAAGCTTTTTTTAAAACAAATTATAATGTCGAACTAACAGACTTATCGAGTAGTTTAATTATAATAGTTCGCATCCTTTTTAGCTCACGAATGCCGCAGTATCCTACTTTATAGTGATTTATTCTACGCGATAATAATGAACTAGGATAATTCATTATTTATCGGCTACATGTTTAAATTAACATAACATAATTAACATAATACACACATACACACACACACACACACACACACACACACACACACACATACATGCACACACATAGATCTATACATATAAAGAAAAGATAAATGTGCATATATGTCCATTACAAAATTTCTGCAATTTTATGTACTATATATAAATATATATTCTTTCAATCTTATTTCCAAATACTAATTCTAATTACTTCACTCTTATTTCCAAATATTAATAAATTTAATAAGGCAAATTTTTAAAGAGTTGATAGAAGTATAATCTAGTTTGAGAATAATATACCAATAATCAAACGTCGAAACAATTATTAATCATATATAAGTTTATATATTAAATAATATCATGGACACAAAATATAGAATGCGGTAACATATTTACTGCTTCCTTGAAAGGTTTTGCTACATAAAATGTTTTTTTTAAATAAATTATAATGTCGATTTAACGAAGACGATTACTAAATATATAAAATGTTGATTTGACAGCAATTTAATATGTATCCTTTTTTAACTCGTAAATGCAGCAGTATTTTACTTCATAGTGATTTATTCTATACGCGATAATAATTTAGAAAGGAAATTTATTATTTATTGGCTAGATCTTCAAAATAATTTAACACAAAAAGTAAATATATGTTTAACACACAAAATATATATTTAAAAGAATTTCTTTTTTGATTTTTTTTTTTTATTTCTTATTTTAAAGATTATTAAAGAAAATTAATTTAGATTCTTTTAGATCAAGATATTTTATATTCTCTTTTCAGAACATATACACGTGTTAATCTTCATATTATTTTGTACATACACTTAAGATCAAATTAATATATATATCATTGTTCTCCTTTTAGGCTAATATTACATTTGTCATACGACCAATTTTTTAAGAATATTGATTGGCTGCGGGATAGTAATTTATTGATTCTTCAGAAACCTTTTATTCTGCAGCCAATTAATATGTTTAAAAAATTTATCATATGACAAATGTGATATTAGCCTTATACCAAATAAATTTGATGCGAAATATTTTCGACGTTATCTACAAGATATTTGCAATTAAAATGGGACATTTCACATGTTACATGGAGCAAACACACCAAGTGCAAACACACTTAACACTGCATGAAAATTTTGCAAAAAATAACCAGCATTTTCATTTGATTTCCTTAAGTGTTTAATAAAGAAATAAAAGAATACAGCTTACATTAATACTGAATATAAATAATCCACGGTCTTGTATTTTTCTTTATTATATTTTCGATACCATTTGATACTGTATAGATTCATCAAATATATGAATGAGTAATGCTTCATACGATGTACTAAAAGATATCGAAATTCTTTCCACGAGCAAAAGTTATAACTGCGTTTGCGCAAGAATATGCGTTAAAAATATATTGCGCGCATATATTAAGGTAATTTGGACTAATTCAATTTCATCTATATAATGAATATACAATTTTATAATTGGTATATGGCCATCTTTACAATAATTGGTGTGTAAAGATATCGATCGCTGAAAATTGACGGAAAATGTGGAAAGAAATAATTCGAGAATTCAAAGGTTCATTTAACAGTTATCGCAGTTCTTTTGTAAAATGTATGCGGTAGAAGAGCGTCATTACAAAGTGAATCGAGTACTTCTTAATATTCTTGGTTTATGGCCCTATCAGCAATCATACTTTACACGAATACGTAAAGTGCTGTTTGTTGGTCTTCTTTGGACATTTATTCTTGTTCAGGTATAAATGTTGAGTTATACAATTTTCGAACTTTTACACAATGTAGTTATATTTAGATAGTGGTATATATTAATTATACATTAAATTCGAGAAAAACTTCATTTTTTTCCAATTTATTAATATATGATAATTAATTTACATTCACATATATCCTACACACTAGACTGCAATCAATCCTAAAGATGTTGTTTTCTATCAGTTGTTAGTATTCGTGACAACACAATACAGTATGAATTCTCATCAAGATTCTTTCAATAGTCTTTCCTATTCTTTTCGTTACTGTTAAGTACTGTATGTTTATGATTCAAGCTGACAGTGTAAGTTCAATATGATAGATCATTAATTGAAATATTTTGTTGTAACATTTATAAAATAAATCGCATTTAAACTATTAATAAAGGCAAATATTTGAATGAACAGGTGAAGAAAATGTTGGAACGAATGCAAGATGATTGGAGATTATTGAAGAATAAATTAGAAGTTGATATTATAGAAACATATGCTTACAATATACAATTTTCTTCAATAGTTTCAATAGGTAAGAATATAATATATATTGTAGGATAAAGAATATATTATTTATTTCGTTAATCTTTTTTTTGCTTTATACGTCAAACATATTCGGGTTGAGAGCAACATAAGGCAAGAAATTATGGCATTGAAAACACTTCTTTATATAAACATAATATAATTTGACTTAAATTAGATCTAACATTTTTCAGTGATTGCTGTTTTTTGCTTTTTTCTTGCTCTGCATACTTCAATTTTTTCCATTAATTCTTGATTGTTATATTGCCATTGAATAATCACGGCCCTTTCGAACTTTTATAATCACAGGAATATTTTATCAGCCAAGAAAAATATATTTACATTATATTGTTACACGAGGTATTAGCATGTTTAATAGCAGTAATAGCTTTATATGGTACGTTTATACAATTTGACATATATGTGGCATGCATGTGCGCTATTTAAAATCGCAAGGTAAGCGATTACTTTTTTGACACTTGTTTTAAATCAGAAGTGAAATTAAATAAATATATATTTAAGTAAATTAATGCAGTTATCGGATAGAGAATGCTATCGAAAAAATACATTAATGATTCCTATTTTTGGAAGACAGTACCTGTTTTTATCAAGGCTTGTACATGCGATTCTTATTCATCGAAGAGCAGTCGAGTCAGTATATTTTGATACTTCTGTCGACAATATCTTTTTATATCTTCTTTTTTATTAAGAGGAGTAATCATGAAATTTTATCTCTATCGTTCATATTATGTACTAATTGTATCTTTTCGATATATCGAATATATTCGATATATCGAAGAGATTATATCTATAATTAAATATGTGTTATAAATATTCATTCATTTATATATTATTATATAATTTTTATGTAATTTCTAATTTCTTTTGAAAGATACATTCATAGTTAGCAATATGGTATTTTTTAAATGTGAAATCTTAGATGTTGTTAGTAAGGTAGATAGGATTAAATTACATATTATATATTATATATATATATATATATGTATATATATATATATATATATATATATATATACCATTGTTCATATAGGAATATAACACATATATTCTTAATTAAATATATTTATCAAATTGTATTTATATATGATAATATCAATATGTAATCCTTCTTAAAGTTTACCAAACTTATTTCGTTTAATTTTACGGTATTATTCGCTATTCTTATCATTGTTGGGGTCAGTTCTTTAAGTATCAATCTTTTTCAAGTAAGTGTGTTTGTGTGTGTGTGTATTTTTCTATCCTACGCTTTTTATTTAATTCATTAAACCTTCCGTAATTTTTTAACAGCTAACATCAATAAACAATAGGAGTTTTGAAGATATATTTTATAGTCATTCTACTCATTGTTATACATATAAGTTATATGTTTCATTGTTAATTACGGTGGACAGAAAGTAACAGATCATGGAATGGAAGTATTTAAAGCAACGTAAGTGTATCATATTTACAATATGTTTTTGGAATTATATGTATATTTATGTATTTTATATCTTGGTGCAAATATATATTCGATTTAAACCAATTTCACATTTTTACATGTATGTGTTACAGCCAGTAATTATATTATATCAAAATCTTTAGCGATTAACTTCTTTTCTATTTTGTAACCAGTTTTCTTTAAATCAATCATTCCAAAAATTGCAGTTATAGTGGATTGTGGTATATAGCACCATTACATACCAACAAGAAATTATTATTATTTATAATGCAAAAAGGAAAATATAAATGTTACTATAATATGGGCCGTTATATATATTAGCATGTTTGGAAGGTTTTGCTTCGGTAAAATCAAAAAGTTTTTTTAACAATAAAATTGAATTTTAATTTGGATTTAAGAAGTTATTGTATCAATTTCAGCTTACAAATGCGGCATATCTTATTTTATGGGATGCATTCTACACGATAATAACGTAGCAGAAAAAAAATATATATTTATTATCAATCGGGTAATTTATTGAAGTGAACAATCATGCAACATATGTGCATTGTAAAGTTTTTTGAAATAACATTTGTTGAATAAATATGTACAGAATATAAAGTTACAAGATGTTTTCTTCGAAATTTATGCGCCATATAAAAAAATGTTTTAGACAAAATTTATAAGATTTTGAAAGAAAAAAATACAAGATTATTCCTCGTATTAAAAATTATTATATCGTAGAGTCAACTAAAAATATATGAATTCT